AAATAAATCTTAACCAATGATTCCTAATTGCATCTACTTCCGGAAGGCCAAATAAAGTGCTTTTGCTTTCACACTGAAACACAGTGTCTCCCTGACATGGCTGCTGTTCCTGTAATCACGCCTTCTTTCTTTGCGTGCACATTTGGGCGGCATTATGCTAATATTTTAACATAGTGACGTAAACATGTGGGGGAATATGTGTTAGAACGTGCCGTTTTAGGTAGGCGTGGTTGACTCTTAACTTTTAAAATAAAAGTTGTAAAGAATATCTCTTTGGATTTGAGACTTTAGTCTTTGCAACTTTACAGATCTTCTTTATGCACCAAGAGCTTGTAACAATCCAAAGAGAAAGGAAAAATTGAAATCGCATCATATGACCCCTTTAAAATAACATTTTAGACATTACAGTAACACCAAAGATATGATACAGACAAAACAGTGACATCGTGGAAGAGAATGAATGTGAATGAAAAGATGAGGTATTATCCAGTATGAGATCTAACAGAAAAAATCCAGTAGATACAGTATTTGATCATCGCTTTTTGGGGACATTTTCATACACAGCGTCAGTCTTTGATTTCTGTAAGGAAACACAAAATCAATCAATCAATCAGGAACCTTGCTGATGTAACAGAACTACTTTATAATTGACTTAAGTAGGACTACTTGTAAAATCCTCAGAAGAACACAATTTTTCCATCAATTTTTGTTGATCTTGTACATTAAGATGATTTTTAATGTGCAACAACATATGCTAACATGGACCAGCATAAGGATATGACATCAAAAATCTTCATCACAAATTCTGAAGGTTTCTTACAACAGCAAAATGGCTTTGAATTATTTTCTTTCACACAAAAGCAACAGCAAAGATACTTGCTTGCAGCACGTCTACAAATCAACCAATGACTGCTAAAGCTGCATTTCACCTCAGATGATCATGAACCGCAGAGCAGCTGCAGCTCGTTGTCAAAGCACAGGTTAACAGCTTTGTGTTCTACTTTCTTTACAATGCAAATCTAAAACAGACTTTGTAAGGGATATTTCAGGATAAAAAAACCAATGTATTTATAGATAGAACTGTTTAGATATTTTTTTAAACAAACCACGATTTAAATGAGTAGGCCACAGATACATCAGGAGCTGTCTTTATAGCGGATTTACATGTAGGATACAATACATAACACCTAATTCATGATATATTCAAATAAATCACCTTACCGTCAGACAGCAGCAGGTCAAAAAATATAAACGGACTGTCCATAAACTAAAGATGCATAATGAGGCAATTACACAACTTCACTGATTATAATGGAAAAACTGCAACATGGAAAAACTTACACTGAGGAACAAAGTACACAGGCTTAGTGTAGATAGCACGAAAAAAAAAACTATCTTAAACTGTCCTTTTGATGTGCTTTCTACTGCAGGTAACGGTCAGGCCAATTGTCCACCCACGTCTGTTCACTGATCATCTGATGCTGCAAACTTCAATCAGATTGACTGCAACACATCTTTTTGCAACACAGTCATGAATGATCTTACCGTTTTTCGTGTTGTTGGTTTACACAAAGCTGAATCAGTTCTGTCTTCCTCTTGGGTCTGGGCTGCATTAACAAAAATACAGACATGTTAAAATGACAGTTGACAATGACAATGACAGTATCAAAATTTGTGTCTTAAAGATAAATATTCATGCAGCTTGTTCTCCTTACCTGTTTTTCTACATTTCCTGCAGATGCAGCAGATCACGACTGAAACTACAATTAACAGAGATCCAGCAGCAGAAGGAATCAGCACTATGTAAAATAAAGGTAAGCCCTGATCTGTAATTGACAAAGTGAAACATTAGTGTCAGTAAATCTGTCTGATCTACAAGAAACACTGAAATATCATCACTGTATAACTAAGAGATACTCTTAATCACATTAATATCAACACCAACATACCTGGGCATGGCTGACAGAGTTCAGTAATGTTGAGGTGTTGAGTCTGGTTGCTGATGGGATTGTTGAGCACACAGCTGTAGCTGTTTTTCTCCTGATATTCCACCTCCAGAGGTAGAGAGAGACTGATGCTGAGATCAGACCTGTTTCAACAGTAGCTACAGTAAACCTGTTTTGTGTAAAGTTGTATATAATTGTACAACTTATTTGCCCCGACTAATTATTTTGTGTTAATCAACATTGCCACAAATGTTAATTGAGTTTAAGTTTTAAATGTGTGAAGGACGCGACAAATGATCTCTACCTACCATAGACAGAAACACTAAATGTTTTTGATGTCAGTTTTGCTCCATTTATCTCTAGCTCATAGTCTCCAGCATGTTCAGTTGTGATGTCTGTGATGGTCAGAGATCCAGTTTGATTGTCCAGTTTCAGTCTGTCTCTGAATCTCTCATCAGGAACATCAAATGTTGAGAAGATTAGTTTCTCAATGCTGATTTTAACTATGAGAGACTTTTCAGCGCCAAATTTCCACAGTATGTCATCGTCGTATTGTATTTTAGTTACACCAGTCTGTAAAGTGACAGAATCTCCCTCCATAACTGACACTGACTTTATTTTACTTGTTTCAGCGCCAAATATACCTGAAGAACATACAAGAACAGATTAAGACTTCTGTTGGTTTACTGAAATCAGCTGTAGTTTGAAATTAAACATTATTTGCTTTTTGAATAATTAAGTTTTCTTTTGTTGTTGTTCAGTTACTCCAGAATTCTTTTTCTTTCTTTTTTTTTTTTGAGATGGCTATTTGTGTTTCTATGTCCAGTAACAATCCTTGAAATTACTATATATATATATAAAAATAAATAAACTGAAAAGCACCTCACTTTCTGAGCCTACTGAGTTTATTCATCATATAAATGTGCCTTTACTCTTCCTGGCTTGTAACATTTATTTTATGTTTTCAGACCTGTAAATCACAATCCAAAGTAGATCTTAATATATTATCTTGCTTTGATCTATCTGACAGCAAATTAAAACTAACAGTAGCTTGTTACGCTATTCTAAATGATTAAGCTAGAAAAAATGCTTGTATAACTTACCAGTCAGACTCCACCAGCACAAACAGAACAAAATAAACATGTGAAACATTTTCTTCAGTTGTTCAGTGAAAAGTCTGAACTAAGAAGTCTATCTGCTGATAACAGTCAGACTGGTGTGAATCCTCCCACGACAGAGTTTGACACTCCTAGTTCTCATGATCTGAACGCATGTTATTTAGTTACATAAAAAATCTTCTTCTGGCTCTTATTAAGACTTTAATCTTATTTTTTTCTTTTCATATCCTTTAACATTAATAATATAGTTGTCTGATGTTATGTAATGTTAATTAAATATGTAAATGTAGAAGAACATTGTGTGAATCTTGTATAATTAAAATGTAGAAATTTACTTTTTATGACAATTTATTTGAATTATCTATGTATCGATGAGTGTATGTATGGAAAAACAAAACGGAAAAAAGTTAAAACAATCTGCAGTCTCTCATTGCCAGTCTTACTGAGGTGTGACACAAGCAGCTCATCTTCTGAGTCAAACTGAAACCTGCTGTGGTCGGTTTTCTTCAGAAACGTGGTTTGATCTGTAGGGTGGACAAACATCTTGTATGTGGCCATTTGTTTAATGTGTGTTTAGCTTGTAGGTGAAGGGCTTCTTCCTGTCCTGTTGTTATGAACCTGCTGTAATATAGCATTTAAATGTATTCAGATAATGTCCATAACCAAAATAATGAAAAGCCTAATTATACTGTACAGTACATATATTAATGTAAGAAATATAATAGGCTACAACATTCAGAATTACATTTTAGAAGAACACTGTGATTTGCTAATAAACAATTATATACTTAGACCTTTTTTTACAATTATAGACTTAGACCTTTTTTTATAATTATAGCACTTTTCAAAAATAAGCTTTTTTTTGTAATGCAGATTAAAGACGCGCTGTAGAGCATAGGGATCCTCCCAATTTACGCTTTTACGTAAACGCGTTGCAGTGCTTTCACTTTCACTCACGAAAGGCCGTCCTGTTTAATGAAAAGCAACATGGCACTTTACAAAAATCGGCATTTTTTCGAAAACCTGGTGAAAATGAAGCTTGTCTTTATTTCGCTTCTCGTATTGTTCTGGTGTTTACTCGACCATGGTAAGACATTTATATCTCTCTTCCGGTGTTCTTGTGCTAAACGCAAATTGCGGTTAAAAGGCCATGTTTTCAGTAAAAATAGCATTAAACATACGTATGCTTCGCGAGTCACAACAAAAGCTGTCAAATGTAATGCAAGGCCTGTTTACACCTCACTTCATGCGTTATTTTCTCTGATCGGATATCCGAGCGTGAAAAAAACCCGGTGAAAATGCTCTCTAAAACACTTTCGATACTGATTTAAATCCGATCGCTCAAACCACAGTTTGGGCCGCATTCCAGACGAAACTGGACACGAGAAAAATGCTGTTTGTTGAAACAATATATGCAAATTTCACTCCTCCCAAAATATTAAAATAAACGTGTGAGAGCGTTTTATAGGCTGTATGGCATGTTATAGTCAGATATGACAATGCAACAAGCATCTCCGCGGATCAGTAAGCCTGGTTTATAGGCCTACTGGCCGCGTCGCGCCATGGTCAGCGCATGAGAGCGCAAAGGTGCTCGCGACGAAAATGACGTCATCGTGGGGTGTGCGGCCGTGCGCGTTATCTCTTCTCCAAACTGACACGCAAACTGCCACAAATGAAACTGAAAGTAAGTCGCAGACACTCTGAGACTAACCCAGGGGCGTAGCCATCATTTCAGAAGTGAGGGGGACAGAAATGTTATATATATATATAAAAAAATAAATAACATATATAAATATTTATAAAGAAGTCTCTTCTGCTCACCAAGCCTGCATTTATTTGATCCAAAGTACAGGAAAAGCAGTAATGTTGTGAAATATTCTTACTATTTAAAAAAACTTTCTATTTGAATATATTTTAAAATGATTGCTGTGATCAAAGCTGAATTTTCAGCATCATTACTCCAGTCTTCAGTGTCACATCCTTCAGAAATCACTGAAGGATTAGCACGACGTTAGCACGACGTGATTGGATTGTTCCCATATGCGTCTAGCAAGACGCAGTACTCGTTCCCGTATCTCAGGGATTGTGCTAATGTAGTGGAACGACTTAAAGTATAACTTCCATAAGCAACCAATGCTTATAGAGAAGTCAACAATAACCCAAGGATAAAACGGGCTGAGCTTTCTAGGTCTCACCTGGCCTGGTTAATCGTTCCAGAGTATACCCGTAACTTCGACACCCAGGGGTTGAAAGCTAACAGGTGAACAATGCCAGAGAACTTGGGCGCGGTACGGCCAAGGGCTCTCTGTCATGTCCGTTTACGCAGCATGTGCCATTTCAAGCGGAAAGGACCCTGGCCTGTAAGGCCAGGACTTCCAGGTTATAAAACCTCGCAAATGTGGATGGCGAGGCCCAGCCGGCCGCCTCACAAATATCCGCAATGGACACACCACTGGACCATGCCCACGACGAGGCGATGCCTCTAGTCGAGTGGGCCCGTACTCCAATGGGGCATTGGAGGCCCAAGGAAGAGTATGCTAGAGAGATGGCATCTACTATCCATCTAGAAAGTCTTTGCTTCGTAACCGGAAACCCTTTGGTGCGGTTACCGAAGCTGACAAAGAGTTGATCCGATCGCCTATAGGGAGCGGAACGCTCAATATAGATTCTAAACGCTCTGACGGGGCAGAGCAGAGATAGCTCTCTGTCCTCTTCAGTTGGAGGAAGCGCGGAGAGCGTAATGACCTGTGCTCTGAACGGAGTGGAGAGCACTTTAGGTACATAACCATGCCTCAGTTTCAGGACGACTTTAGAGTCATTAGGCCCGAATTCCAGGCAGGCAGGGCTAATTGAGAGTGCCTGCAGGTCCCCTATTCGCTTTACTGATGCCAGTGCTAGAAGCAGAGCAGCCTTCAGCGATAGCGACCTAATGTTGGCGTACTGTAGTTGCTCGAAAGCGGGGCCCATCAGGGCCCTCAGCACAGTGGGCAGGTCCCATGAAGGGACGGTAGGGGGACGAGGCAGATTCAGCCTCCTTGCACCCTTCAGGAAGCAGATGACTGCGCTATTTCTGCCCACCGATTGACCCTCAATAGGGATATGAAAGGCCGCTATAGCCGCCACATAGACTTTGTGTGTGGATGGGGAGCGACCCTTTTCCAGCAGCTCTTGTAGAAATGACAGCACCTCTGCTAATTCGGAAGTGAGAGGATTTAAACACCAGGCGGAGAAAAAAGACCACTTTAAGGCATAGAGACGTCTCGTAAACGGAGCACTAGCCTCTGAAATTGTGTTTAAGAATCGCTCTGGGAGGCACAAAGGCTCCCGTTGAGCGGTCAGAGGTGCAGGGCCCATAGGTCGGGCCGAGGATGCCATAATGTCCTGTTCGCTTGAGAGAGGAGATTCCGTCTCAGTGGAACAGGCCAAGGGTCCACTATCAGTAGCTGAGTCAGCTCTGATAGCCACAGCTGGCAGTGAGAGTTGTCTTCTGAGGCGAAGAGGTCTACCTCGGCCTCGCCAAAGATTTCCCAGATCTTCTGAACCGTTTGTTGATGGAGTGTCCACTCCCCTGAGGGGACATTGCTCCTTGATAACATGTCCGCTCCCCGGTTCAGTTTGCCCGGTATATGCGCTGCCTTTAGCGAGCGTAGGTTGGGTTGAGCCCACTCTAAGAAGCGCTCCACCAGCATGAAGAGGCGCTTTGAAGAGAGGCCTCCCTGGTGATTTATGTAGGACACAACCGACATGTTGTCCGATCAGATTAGCACACAGTGCCCTTTCAGGACTGGCAGGAAGAACTGACAGGCTCGACATACTGCTAGCATTTCCAGGCAGTTGATGTGGAAGCCTTTTTCCGCCTTCGACCAGTGGCCGAAGGTCGGTATGCCCTTGCACAGCGCCTCCCAACCTGAGTTGGAGGTGTCTGTCGTGACAACTGTCCTTCTGTGAACCATCCCCATGGCCACGCCCTGTTCCATCCAGGGGGAGTTCTTTCAGGGGGTCAGGGCCGATACACAGGCCTGACTCACACTGATATGCTGATATGCTGTGACGCCACGCATGGGATGGAACCCGTGGTTTCAACCAGCGCTGAAGGGGGCGCATACGCAGCAGACCCAACTGTAACACTGGAGATGCTGCTGCCATGAGGTCCAGCATCTTTTGAAACGCTTTGAGAGGGCCGATCTTGAAGGAGGTCGCCAGCCTCCGTATGGCCAGAGCTCGTTCTGGCGTGACTACAGCTTTCATTTGGGCTGAGTCGAAGATTGTTCCCAGGAACGAGATTTGCTGGCTGGGAAGCAATGAGCTCTTGGCAAAATTGACCCTGAGTCCCAGGCACTCCAGGTGGCTGAGGAGGAGGGTCCTGTGAGATATTAATTCTGTAAAAGTGTGGGGGGCCAGGGACAGCCTGAAGGGAAGGACTGTATATTGATAAGCCACACCCTCGAAGGCGAATCTCAAGAATTTCCTGTGATGAGGGACTATCTGGATGTCAAAGTATGCATCCTTCAGGTCCAGGGAAAAGAACCAGTCTCTCGAGCGAATTTGCGCGAGGATCTGTTTCAGTGTAATCATCCTGAACGACCTCTTCATGAGGGCGCGATTCAGGTGTCTGAGATCGAGGATGGGCCGGAGGCCACCATCTCTTTGGGGACGAGGAAGTAACGGCTGTAAAGGCCTGACTCGCTCTGGGCTGGAGGAACCTTTTCGCGTCCTTCATCTCCGTCAGCGTCGAGCACCACAAGGCTGGCCATTGATCTCCCAATCGCCTGGGCGGTGGTTTTGGTGGCGCGTAGAGCCAGGTCCGTCGTGCTCCTCAGATCCCTGAGGATAGCAGGGTCCAGGCCAGACTCGGAGGATGTGAGGATTTTGGCCTGGAAGACCTGGAGGACCACCATAGAATGAAGCGCCGAAGCCGCCTGTCCAGCTGAGGTGTAGGCGCGTCCAGCGAGAGCTGAAGTGGTCCTATATGGCTTAGACGGGTGAGCGGCCTTCACTCTCCAGCCGATGGCCGTGGGCGGGCAGAGATGCGCGGCCACTGACTCATCTAGGGGAGGTGGCTTACCGTACCCTTTTTCTTCAGCGCCGTTGATGAAGTGAGGGTGGATGAAGAGGCAGTATGGAGGCGGGCAGAGTAGGGAGCGCGCCACAATCTGGTGAGCTCGTCATGGACCTCCGGGAAAAACGGAGAAGTACGCTAACGAGGGGCCTGGCGGTGCCCTTGCGGGAACCATTCATCCAGACGGCTGCAAGAGGGCTCTTCTGGCGGGGACCACTCTAAACCCAGCTCTTCGACCGCCTTGGAGAGGATATGGAGAAGCTCGGTATCCGTCCCGTCTTTGGTGGCACTGGGCGCGGATGATGGCGAGGGGGTGGGGTCATTCTCCGAGCCCAACAGCTCCTCTGCATCTGACGCTGCTAATGACATGCTGTCATCGAGCAGCTCGTCCCCACTTCCCCCGAATGAGATCAGGTCGCTCGCACCAGCAGGGGGACGCTGATCAGTCCGGGAGAAAAGGACGGGGGAATACTCTCTCTGCGGCGAGAGCGAGGCACGCGGGGTTCGTTTTTAAGCTCTGCACGAACCAGTGGTCGTGCAGTTTCACTGCGTGAATGAAATAGGCTTCAGTTCAGGAGAAAAAATGCTTTTTTCCCATATGTGTCTAGCAAGACGCAGTACTAGTGAAGTATCGAAAGGGAACAGTTATTTGAAATAGCCTAGTAAAAATATTTCAAAATGTTACTGTTTTGCTGTACTTTGGATCAAATAAATGCAGGCTTGGTGAACAGAAGAGACTTCTTTAAAAAACATTAAAAATCTTACTGTTCAAAAACTTTTCACTGGTAGTGTATAGTCAACTTTAATTTTTCTATCATTTCTAGCTTTTAATTGGCTTAGAAATCAGATAACTGCTGGACAATAACCAATAATAATGATTTGTTTATGTACTACAAACAATTTTTATCACATAATAAATGCTATGTCAGTTAGCACTGTGTTGTTCATATACTTTATTTATTACCTGGAGATGACTTGACAAACACAAATAAACCATATTGTCGCAATCATATGTTTAATGTCTTCATGTTTCCAAACGTTTCTGTTTTTCTGAAAACAACTGTTTTCATACAGCAATAGCTGGACACTTTTGTCCATAATATTAGGAATTTCCTCATACGACTTTCTGCGTGAGCGCACCCGCCGGCTACGAGTATGAATGAAACATACACTGCACGGAATGTTTAGCGCTCTGTGATGTTCATCTCGCCTTATTCTGGGTTCGAATAAAACATCAGATCATGCACAGACTATCATGTCTCTTTGAATTTAAATCTATATTTATTCACACCGGCTCTTGAAAACCTCTATGCGAACACACTTGCCCGAAAGAGTGCGGGGGATGAATTTACATGATATTAAAAGTGGGGGGGACACGTCCCCCAAGTAATCTACGCCCCTGGACTAACCTATCTTTCTAGTGCGGATACCGCTCTTTCCCTCTCTCTTGTCGCAGTCTTTGATCTTGAAATTAGCTGATAAAGAATAAAATGCAGATATTATCTGCTTTGTTGACATGAACTTATAGCGCAAATATGTGCATATAGTGCAAATCTTTGCATATAGATTTATGTGTCCAAGTGTAAATGGAAACGTTTTAACAAATCAGATAGATATCCGATCAGAAGTGACCAGGTGTAAATAGGCCCATAGATAGGCAGCACGTTTTGATGGAAATAAATTAATTTATCATAATTAATGCTGCCTTGGCATGCTATCGGAAATTTCATATTTTCCACTTATGAAGTCGTGATTACAAGTTTGTCGCATTCAAGTGCTTTGTTGTCAGAAAGAATAAAATGTTATGTAGCATCCCATTGGTTGACAATCATATAAACATTGCTGAGCAAGATAAAAATCTTGCTGACAATTCTGGAATTTCAGTCAAATTCATGCTTATTTCACTGTTTATAAAGCATAATATGCTTCAAATGATTGTTCATATATAGCCTATAAATACACTACTTTAGCAACAAGACAAAGTTATGTAGTTGTTGTGAGAATAGGGCTGTGTTACAGTCAATTTTATTCCCCCTTTACTCGCAAACTTCCCTCCGTCTCGTTTACTCGTATGTATGTCATTGATTACGTTGCATGAATGCCCACTACTGGCAGAACCCTTGCAATGTCCTCAAATGGAACGTCCTAAGCCCTTGAACACTTAGAATCTGCTATGGAGTTGGTTTATTGTTAACATTTTTTTTTTCCTTTTACAAATTTGTTTAGTTCAACATTCTATATGTATATTGGTATGATTGGGCTGTTATAAATGTAATATATGATGACATCATAATCGTGTTGCATTGTGGTCTATGAAGTGACCTGAAGTGTGCATATGAAGCAGACTTGCTCCCTCGGTCAAAATTGAGGGGTCGAGGGTCTGTCAATATAACCTTCCCTTGTCCACTTGATGAAGTGGAACGCACTTCAAAATGGCGGTGGGAATTCCCCCAAGGGGAAGTGCTTAGGGAAGTTCACAAGTGTGTGTCTGTAAGTGGAGTTGAATGCAAGCCTAGCATTGACGGCAGCAATGGTTGTCCCCTCCACCATGTTTAAAGTTTATGGTCCGCCCATCTCGGTAACTCTGGTATCAAAATTATTTCTGAATTTCCCAGTAGTATATAAGACTTGAGAGGAGTTCATGTACATATTTATGATAGTTACAATAGCACATGAAAGCAGCATTAGATTGTTCGGTGGTCAGAGGTTTGGTGATTCTGAATGGATCCGGATAGCAGTAAAGGCAGGAGGTTTAGTAGTATTTGGCGTCTCCCTGTGGTCCGGTTTGGTATCACAGCTTGACTTGTGCAAAATTGTATTGAAAACTTTTATCTAATTATTGATTGATTGATTGATTGTGGCACTATCCATACATCGAAAATTATTAAAAAGTACTTATTTATATTAATAAATAAACAAATAAACAAATAAATAAAGGTGGGGTCTATGGGGTGAGTACTGGCACTTCGTTTTTTCCACTTTAAGCACTGGCCTCAATGTATCGCAACTCATTGATTTTATAATGTAATGGCACAGTCACGATGTAGGAAGATTTGCATAACGCCGACCAAATGTTCACGCAAAGAAAGAAGGCGTAACTTTGATTCTCACTGTTGCCACCGCCGCCATGTTGTGGAGACGCTGTGTGTTTCGATGTGAAAGCGAAACTAATTTGTTTGGCCTTCCAAAAGAGGACACAACTAGAAATCAGTGGTTAAGTTGTATTTACAACACTGTTCCAGAACAGTTCAACCCAAGTATTCAGATGTGTGCAGCGCATTTTACGGAGGACGAGGACTGTTTTCCGGAAGAGTAGCCTACAATGCCAGTGTGTGTTTCTATAAAGTGGGGCAATTCCAACTTTGCAAGGACAGTCTGGCACTTCTGACTCACAGTCTGTAAGTACGTTTACATATTTAAAGGATTTGCCACTGATGATTCAAATGCGAGTTTTGAGCAGTGTAGAGAAGCGCTTGTTGTTTGTCGTTTCTCCGATCACAAATGCACACATGCATTTTGGTTTTTTATGTTCCCGTGCCCCAGGATTGCACCAGGTTGGAGATAGATAAACATTCCCACAGGCCCTAAAGGGGAACACACCTCCTCAGCAGAACACAATTCTACAAAAGTTTTCAATATTTCTCATAATATAAGTGACTACTGTGAAATTGAAACCAATTTACCAATCGCACAAATACCTTTAAAATTACACTAAACATGAAGGGGAAAAACAACAGGTTCACAATATACAGGTACATCTCAAAAAATTAGAATATCAATTAAAAAGGTCAATATTTTTGTCACTCATTTCAGAAAGTGAAACCCATATATTATATAGATTCATTACACATAAAGTGAAATTTTTTTTAAGCCTTTATTTCTTGAAATTTTGATGATTATGGCTTACAGATAATGAAAACCCTCTGTGCCTCTCCCCTCTTCCTCCAGACTCTGGGACATTGATTTCCAAATTAAATGCAAAATTTACTTTAATCTGAAGAGAGGACTTTGGACCACTGAGCAACAGTCCACTCCTTGTGAAGCGCCCTCAAATTCTTGCTGGTGCACCTTTTCCTACCACACTTTTTCCTTCCACTCAAATTTCTATGAATATGCTTGGATACAGCACTCTGTGAACAACCAGCTTCTTTAGCAATGAAATTTTGTGGCTTACCCTCCTTGTGGAGGGTGTCAATGACTTCTGTCAAGTCAGCAGTCTTCCCCATGATTGTGTAGCCTACTAACCCAGACTGAGAGACCATTTAAAGGCTCAGGAAACCTTTGCAGGTGTTTTGAGGTAATTAGTTGATTAGGGTGTGACACCATGACTTTCCAATATTGAACTTTTTCACAATATTCAAATTTTCTGAGACACTGAATTTTGGGTTTTCATTATCTGTAAGCCATAACCATCAACATTTCAAGAAATAAAGGCTTGAAATATTTCACTCTATGTGTAATGAATCTACATAATATATGGGTTTTAATTTCTGAAATGAGTGACACAAAATATTGACCTTTTTCATGATATTCTAATTTTTTTAGATGTACCTGTATATGATATGTGGAATATGCATATTCTTAATGAACTTTGAGTGAAATCTTTTGGGGGAAAAGAGGGAGAGGCAGAGAGGGCAGGGGGAGAAGGGGGTCGTAAATGAGCGAGGAGAGGTATGTTATTTGCTTTCTTTGAAGATTTATTCTCCATATAAGTTTTAATGTTTTATTGCATAGTGTCTGTTTTGTGTGAGTTCCTGAGTATTGGCTTCATGAAGAGTTAATTTCATAAGGAAATAATTTCACTCCTTTCATACATAAGACTTGGACTTCTTATTTATTGTTGAAACATGGCTAAATACTGTTGACCTCACCCCTATTATGGAAGTAACTCCAGCTGCTTGTGACTTTTTTAGCTCTCCCAGAAACTCTGGTCGGGGTGGTGGCCTTGTCATTATTTTTAACAAATATTTAAAGGCGCTTATTGCCTTCTATCAGTTTTGAAGCCCAAGTGAGGATGTTGGACTATAAGAAACCGGTGCTGTGTGTAAATGTTTATGGTGCATTTAAATACCACAAAGCTTTCAGTGAAGAATTTTCTGATTTTTTATCTCATTTTGTAGTATTGTCTGATTC